GTAGTAGTAGTAGTAGTAGTAGGAGTAGTAGTAGTAGTAGTAGTAGTAGTGGTAGTCGTAGTAGTAGTCGTCGTAGTAGTAGTAGTAGTAGTAGTAGTAGTAGTAGTAGTAGTAGTAGAAGTAGCAGTAGTAGTAGTCGTCGTAGTATTCGTCGTCGTCGTTGTAGTAGATAGTAGTAGGTAGTAGTAGTAGTAGTAGTAGTAGTAGTAGTAGTAGTAGTAGTAGTAGTAGTAGTAGTAGTAGTAGTAGTAGTAGTAGTAGTAGTAGTAGTAGTAGTAGTAGTAGTAGTAGTAGTAGTAGTAGTAGTAGTAGTAGTAGTAGTAGTAGTAGTAGTAGTAGTAGTAGTAGTAGTAGTAGTAGTAGGTGGTTAGTAGTAGTAGTAGTAGTAGTTGTTGTTGTTGCCGAAGTAGTCGTAGCAGTAGTCGTAGTAGTAGTGGTAGTAGTAGTAGTAGTAGTAGTAGTACTAGTAGTAGTAGTAGTAGTAGTAGTAGTAGTAGTAGTCGTAGTAGTAGTAGTAGTAGTAGTAGTAGTAGTAGTAGTCGTAGTAGTCGTAGTAGTAGTAGTAGTAGTAGTAGTCGTAGTAGTAGTAGTAGTAGTGGTAGTGGTAGTGGTAGTAGTAGTAGTAGTAGTCGTCGTAGTTAGTCGTAGTCCCAGTCGCAGTCGTATTAGTAGTAGTAGTAGTAGTAGTAGTAGTAGTAGTAGTAGTAGAAGTCGTCGTCGTCGTCGTCGTCGTCGTCGTCGTCGTCATCGTCGTCTTCGTCGTCGCCGTAGTAGTTGTAGGGTTAGTTGTAGTAGTAGTAGTAGCAGCAGCAGTAGTAGCAGTAGTAGTAGTAGTAGTTGTTGTTGTTGTTGTTGTTGTTGTTGTAGTGGTCGTAGTAGTAGTCGTAGTCTGTCCTCGTGCGTCCCATGAGAAAGCCAGGGGGGGCCGCCGTGGCCCCAGCTTTTTTGTTTTCGTATCCAAAATTGCAACCAAGGTGCGTCCAAAGTTTTCCCTGGATCGTCCAGGACTCCACCCTGACAAGTTGTTCGAGCTGCGTTCAGCCGCGGCGTCGAGAACGCCCAGGAACCATCGAGAACCTCCGAAACGAAGGCGTCGACCTCGATCCTCCACCGTCTCGTCGTCCTTCTTTCCGTCTGACTGTCGCTCGCGCCGAAGCTGCGGGGGCCGCAGTGGCCTTTCGACCCGTCCTTTCCTACGAAGCTGGCGATAACTCGGGCCTTACGCGGCCGTTCGGAACGATCCCGGAACGCCCGTGACGAGGTGCAGTTGGTGGGCACCATCCTAAATCTAGGTCCCGAACACATCAGAAGAACAACCTCCAAAAACAACGCGTGGTAACCTCAGCGAGCGCCTCTCGACGGGCCCTCCTCCGAGCCGTTCACTTCAAGGAGAGCCGTCCGGGGGGACACGTATGCAGTATGCGTACCTCCACGCTCGCTCCTCCGCCGCCGCCTTGTGGAGCTCAAGGCGTGCACACCCTACTTGACTACCGATATGCACCTCGAAATTATGCGCGGGAGAGAGAAAAGGGCATCCGCTTTCTTTTCTCCGACCCCCTTCCACATCGCCCACCTTTCACTGCATCTCGGCGGCGAGCGAGGGCAGGGAAGTGAGAAGGGGCGGGCCTTTTTCAGAAGGCTCGGAAGTGCTCTCTGGCCTTCTGCGAAGTTTTCTGAGCCGTCCCCGAAGACGCTGGACACCTCTCAGAAGGCGCGAGAATTTCTGGGAAGGCCCACCGCCTTCTGAGGAGGTCTTCTTCTTCTCACTTGCCCCCCTCGCTCGCCGCCGAGCACTGTCTACGGCAGCGATGTCCAACGTCACCGTGCCATTGTTCGAATCGTTTGTCCCCGCCTCGGCCCGCGCTCCCTCGGGGGCACCGAGCGCGCGGCGCCGCGCGCGCGCGCGGGGAGCTGCGCGCCGCGAGAGGCCCGCGCGGAGCTGCGCGAAGCGCTGGCCGCGCCCGCGGAGGCGGCCGAGGCGGCGGCCGAGGAGGCGGGCGGCCGCGGCTTGCCGCATGAGGCTTTCCGGAGAGGCCCCAGCCTTCGAGGATCTTACGAGCCTCGTCAAAAATACATTGGAACGTTGTTCAAGATCGAGGCGCTCGATAGTTTGGGCACTTGTCCAAAGCCGTGTTCCTCAATGCTGTGAGGGTGCTGCTGGAGCTCGGACGCCCCTGCGTCTGGGCCGAATACCTCATGCCAGCATTGAAGTAGCGCCCGCCACGCAAGCACCGAACACAAAAATCGTACAATTATTTTTGATTAGTCTTGTAGGAGTTGGTATGCCTTCCTTGGCGCAAGGCGGCGGAAGGGCGGCTGAAGCCCGCGGAAGTACAACGAGGGCGGCTCCGCCGGCCGAAGCCGGCAGAAGGCCAGCGGGTCTTGCCACATGCCCGGCAATCGATTAGACGTAAGAGTGACTTTTCGCTGGAGTGACCTTTGCTGCGGGCCCAGTGGGGTCTGCCGACCGCTGAACGCGAAGCGGTAGCAGCGGCTTGCGCGCCCAGGTTTGGCCACTCCGCGTTCCCCGTTCAGCTGCGCACCAAAGTTCACCCTTTATTGCCCAGGGCCACTCTTGCGTGTAGCCGAGGAAATCCAGAGCCGCCAGGGCAGGTAACGGCCGCTAGCTCGAGAAACGATCTCGCTCCTCGGTGGTCGGTGTTGCAGCCCTGCCTGGGCGGCCGCGCGAGAGGCCCGCGTCGCCCTCCGGGAGCGCCTCCGACGAAAAGGGGGGCGGCGCAGCTCCTGCGGCAGGTGGAATACAGCGAGGCCCATGCCAAGAAGCACCCTGCTTGCCTGCAGGGTACCCTGGGTTTCTTGGGCTTCGATGGTTTCGTGCTGGAAAGCGTGGCGTTCCCACGCCAAAAACCGATGGACGTCCTGGGGTCTCAGGGTTGGGTTTCTTGTGGGAGGCTTTTTGTGGACCGGCCTCCACTGTATGGGGCAGGCTTTCCCCGCTGGCGTTCCACGTTGAACGCCACTAGCGACCCAGAATCGGTCGATGCTGAACGATCTGGCGTTTCGGAGACGGCCGACGGTTCAAGGTTGAGCGATCCCCACGGTGGCAGAGATCAATGTCGAAGTTGGCACGACACACCTTTCCGCAGGCCTCCACCGATCCCCGTGAGGACTCCTCTCGCTCCTCCGCGTTCGTTTGTGCAGCCCCGTCCAGGCGGCCGCGCGCGAGGGGCGTTGCCGTCGCCCTCCGGAGCTGCGCCGACGCCAAAGGGGGGCGGCGAAGCTCCTGCGTGGAGCGAAGAAGCACGATGATCATGATCGAGATGTCGTCGGATCTTGTCGAGGCCGGCCGTCGCCGATTCGCGAGGATGATCCACGAATTCTGACAATGACCAACATTGACGATGACCAAGATCGACACCGACGCTGCCTCCTTCAGTCTTGGTCATGGTTTTTCTTTCCCTCCACGTGCGGGGGGTGGAGTGGGGATCAGGATGCACCCGCGGGTGGGCCCCCCATCCCCCTGAGGATTAGGGGGGCCCGCCCCAGGCGAGACGGCGTCATCGCCCTGAGCCATTCGACTCATGCGACTGCAGTAACACATGCATCATCTGGCAGTCGACTTGCCGTGGCTATGTCACAGTGGCACTCCCTCCCGCGGAGTCGGTACAGGCTCGTGTCTTACATTTGCCCGTGGCACGGGCATCCGGGCCGCACGGCTTCAGGAGCATCACAAATAGTTCTTCTCGCTTCGCATGGTGCACGCCTGGAGAGCGTAGAGTATGGGCGTTGGCTGGTTCGTGGGGCCTTCTTCGGGTCCCTTGGGGGCCTCTTGGGGGTATCTTGGAGGCGTCTTCGGTCCTCTTGGAGTTTGGGGGGCCTCTGGCGGGCTCCTGGGGCTACCTTGGAGGGAGGAAGCTTTTGTTGGGGGCCTCTTGGGGTCTTGATGGGGGCCTCTTGGTCCGACTTCGGGCCTATTGGGCTGTCCTGGGGGTGTCTTGGGGCCGGCCTCGGCGTTCTTGGGGCCTCTTCGGCCGTGTTGGCCGTCCTTGGTATTTGGAGAGGCGATACTTGGAATACCCCCCACAACCCGAATGCACTAAGTGACTTGGGCTTCCAGAGGCCCCTTTCGGGGTCCTCTCGGGGCCGTCTTGGGCCGTCTCTTGGGGCCTATTGGGCCGCCTTGCGGCCAAGGGGGAGGGAAGAAGGAGGCCGAGGAGGGGCGGGCGAGGGCAGGTGATGCTGGGGAGGGGGGGGGGGGGAAGCTGGCGAGGAGGGGGAGGCAGGTGACGGCGGGGAGGAGAGGAGGAGGGGGGGAGGACGGGGGCCTGGGGCCCCTCTTCTCCCCCTCCCTCACCCCCCTCGGCAGCAACCAGACTCGGACAGAAAACTCTCGGCCAGGCTGAAATCGGCCAGGCTGAACTCTGAACTCTGCCCAGCTGATCTCGCCCGGCTGGCCTCGGCCAGGCTGACCCCGGCCAGGCAGAACTCCGCCCGGGCCGAGTTCAGCCCGGCCGAGGTCCGCCGGCCGAGCTCAGCCTAGCAGAGTTCAGCGGGCCGAACTTGGCCGAGCTTACCCGGTCGCCGCCACACGCTTCCCCAACAGCACGGCCGCCTCAATTTTTTCGATGCGTGGGCCGCGGGCGCCTAGACCACGTCCCAGGGGCCGGGTTTTTCGTCCTGATCGTTCCCTGACGGCCCCGAGGCCCAGTAGGAGCCCCCAGAAGCCCCAAAGTAGCCAAACACTTCCGTCGTGCGTTTTTCGTGGCCCGAGGGGGTCTGGGCCCGCCTCTTTTTCGCGTCGCCTCACCGCGGAAGCCGTGCGCGGAAGCCGCGCGCGCGCGTCGCCGCCGCGCCTCCCCCCTTTTCGCCCTCGCCAGGCGGAGCGCGAGGTGCGCGGCTAGTGATCTGCGCTCCCGTCCCCCCGTCCTCGCCGTCGCACGCGTGTTCGAGACCTCTGGTATACAGTCAACCCGCATAACCAGGATGGCCAACCTTCCCAAGGCTACCCTTGGCATCCTTGCCCCTTCGGCCCATCCGCAGCGGCTCTCGCTGGCCAACCTCGCTCGACAAACGTCAGCATGGGCCTCCAAGACCCTTGCATCCTTACCGCGCATCCTTGTGATTCGGGTTGACTGTAGCCTTCCTCCATCCCTGGAAGAAGAGATTTCGCCTGGCGAGGGACCCAACCACATGCAGCTGCGAGGACTGCAAGGCAGATGGAAGCTAAAGGAGGTGGTCAGCAAAAGGATTGAGGCGTGCGTGAGGAGGACGGAACGACGTTGCTGATGGGGTCGCAGAGGTCACAACGGGTTGGATTTGATCTAACCCGTCACGGCTGATCTGAGTGACGGCCCGGCCTTGGAGAGCAGCAGGGCGCGGTCTAGGGAGCAGTAGGCGGCGGGGCTTTTGGTGGAGCTCCTATATTATACGGCCACGAAGCGAGCGAAGGGTATGCCAAACAGGGCGGTGTCACGCATGCAAGTCCTGGCGATGGGGCATTCGGTGAAGCTCCCTAGGGGGCCGCGAAACGTGCGAGGGGTGTGCCAACATGGGCGCGGTCACGCATGCGATTTCCGCCATTGTTTCCTTCGGCGGAACTCCCTATGGGACCACGAAGCGTGCCAGGGGTGTGCTGGAATCGGCACGGTCACGTATGCGATTCTTGCCATTTGGGCCTTAGGTGGAGCTCCCTTTGGGGCAGCGAAACGTGTAAAGGGTGTGCCGAAATTGTTTGGAAGGGCCATGCGAGCGCAGCCAATGGGGCCGTAAGTGGAGCTCCCCACGGGGCCACGAAGCGTGTGAGGGGTGCGCGGGGCAGTGGTGTGGTGGCGGCATGCGGGCGCAGCCACTAGGGCGTTAGGTGGAGCTCCCTATGGCGCGAGGAAATGTGTGAGGGGTGCGCCGAGGTGAGGTGGCTGCGGCATGCGTGCGCAGCCACTGGGGCCTTAGGTGGAGCTCCTCATGGGGCAACGAAGGGTGTGAGGGGTGTGCGACGAAATGGAGTGGCGGCGGCATGTGGGCACAGCCGCTGGGGCCTTAGGTGAAGCCCCCTGTGGGGCCACGGAATGCTTGAGGGGTGCCAAAGTGGGGTTGTGGTGGTTCCAGGACGCAGCCACCGGGGCCACGAGGCGTGTGATGGGGTGCGCCAACAGGGTGTGGCGGCGACACGCGGGCGCAACCACACGTGTGAGGGGTGCGCCACAGGGGTGTGGCGGCGGCATGCGAGCGCAACCATGCGGTCCTTAGGTGGGGCTACCTGTTGGGCGACGAAGCGTGTGATGGATTCGCCAAAGTAAGATGGCGGCGGCATGCAAACGCAGCCACTGGAACAGTACGTGGATCCCCCTTATAGGTCCATGAAACGTGTGATGGGCGCGCCAAATTAGTGTCGCTGCGGCATGTGGGTGCAATCAATGGGGCCTTTGGTAAAGGAGTGCGGGTCACGAAGCTTGTGAGGGGTGCGCCGATGCGGGAGGCGATGGCATGCGAACGCAGCCACTGAGGCCTTCGGTGGGGCTCCATTTAGGGCCACGGAGCGTGTGAGGGGTGGGCCAAAGTGGAGTGGCGGCGGCATGCGACCGCAGCCATTGGGGCTTTCGGTGGAGTCCCCTTATGGGGCCACGAAACGTGTGAGGGGTGCGCCAAAGTTGGGTGTCGTCTGCATGAGGACGCAGCCACTGTGGCATTAGATGGAGCTCCTTGTGGGGCCACGTAAAGTGTGAGGGGCGCGCAGGTGCGGGGTGGCGGCGGCATTCGAACGCAGCCATTCGGGCCTTCGGTGAGGCTCCATGTGTAAAATTGTGAGGGGTGCGCCGAGGTGGAGTGGCGGCGGCATGCGAAGGTACCCACTCAAGCTTTAGGTGGAGCTCCCTGTGGTGCCCCGAAACGTGTGAGGGGTGCGCCGAAGTGGAGTGGCGGCGGCATGCGGGCGCAGCTACTGGGGCCTCAGATGGAGATCCTGTGTGGGGCCGCGAAGCGTGTGAGGGATACGCCGAAGTGAGGTGGCTGCGGCATGCGCGCGCAGCCAGTGGGGCCTTCAGTGGAGCCCCATATGGGGCAACGAAGCGTGTGAGGGGTGTGCGACGAAGCGGTGTGGCGCTGGGGCCGTGGGTGGATCCCCCTATGGGGCGAGGAAGCGTGTGAGGGGTGCGCCAAAGTGGGGTGGCGGTGGCATGCGAATGCAGCCACTGAGCCTTCTGTGGGGCTCCCTACGGGGCCACGCAGCGTGTGAGGGTGCGTCAGTGTGGGGTGATGGCGGCGGCGGCATGCGAACGCAGCCACTGAGGCCTTATGTGGTTCTCCCAATGCTGCCACGAAACGTGCGAGGGGTGCGCCAACGTGCGATGGCGGCGGCATGCGAACAAAGGAGGGAGGAGGGGGTAGGAGGAAGAAGGAGGAGGGGGAGGACGCGGGGCGCTGCTGACTCAAAACTCGGACCCAACTCAACACAGGATGGTTGGGGAAAGCGCAACTACATAGACTGTTGGAGCTCCGTGCCGAGCCCTTGGATCTGCTCTGAGACCCCTCTGACGGCGCCTCCAGCGCCGACCCAAGAAACTCGCGCGGAGTTCCAACAGTTTATGCGTATGCCGCTGCTTCTTCTTCAAATCCTTTTCCCCTACACATGACTCCTCCCTGTCGCACCCCCAGACGTGTCGGTGGGGCCGGCCGGGCGTTTCGCCAGAATATTTTTCATCATGTTTGATTCTGCAGTGTGAAGTTTGATATAGACTCACGGATGGAAGGCGTGTCGTTTTCAGAGCGTGGCTGTCGCGTCAGCGCCGCGCACTTTCGTTGTGTTCCTCCAGAGTTTGCAGCAGCTGAACGGATCGGGGGCCACATGCGAACCCCTACCCCTGCCCCCCAGGATTTCTGAGGGGGGAGGGTGGGGTTCACTTCGCTCGGGAGCTCCCGAACAAAGTGAACCCCACCCTCCCCCCTCTGAAATCCTGGGGGGCAGGGGTGGGGCTCGCATGTGGCCCCCTAACGGTTGAAGGGCGAGCCGTTCTCAACACGTTGTTTTCGCCGCAGCGCCGCGCACAGTCGCCGTCCAAGTTCGCCATCGCTTCAATGGGGTGGAGGGCGGCTCCTTCCCTCGAGATGTGGCTCTCGCCTCAGCGCCGCGCTCATTCGTCCTGCGCGCTTGCAGCAGCTTCAAGGGTTCGCGGGAGTGGAGTCTCGGGGGAGGTGTCCTGGCACGGTTCAGGACTGCCAGGACGCAGCCGTCACGCTGCTCCGCGGTGCTGAAGTCCCATGAATGGTGTCCCAGCACGAATTGGTATCGTCAATACCTAACCGTTGCGTTGATTCTTGGCGTTAGGGTCCCAGGAGTGGTATTTGTGCCCGATCGGTAATCTTCAGACGGTTGTCATCAAATGGGACACTCCCCGCAATGATAGTCAGCTCTTGGAGCCTATGCAGAGGGAATGGGGAGGAGAGCTCGTTGCAACATCGTTGATTCATGTGTGAGCCTTGTGTTTAAACTGGTCCTCCTGCTCCTCCTCTTACTTGACGTTCGGCCAGAATCAGCGACGGGGCTGTTGCGCTCCTCAGCAACGCGAGCTCTTCTAGGGATGGGCGCGGAACGGACAGCCAATATGACGAGTGCGAGACACCAGTAGCGTGATTAAAATGCCTGGACATCTCACCTGAAGGCGAGGAAGGCATACAGTGCGAGTGAATAAGGCAACTGCGGCAACGGCATATCAGGAGTAGGCAGATGCTTGGGTATGGCAAGGTTCCTTTCCCGTGACGGTCTCCCAAATCCTACCTTTCTCGTGACAGTGGTGGTGCATGCAGTAGCGCGCTGCAGTGCAGGGCCAATGACACGATACGCCGAAATGTTCATCAAGGGTGCCACGGTTAATGTAACGATGCCCTGGCAGCAATCAAGGATGGGCCGATGCAGAGATGCCCATGATAATTGGCCTCGCCGAGGGTCATGTTAACAGCTTGGCATGCAGGTAGGCCCTCGCAAGGGTTTCGTCGATTGCCCACTCCGTCGCGACAAGCACCTCTACCTCCTCCTCGCGTAGCGGGTGGGCTTGATGCCTTGAGGCAAGTTTGCACGCGCCAGTGGCATGCATGTCGGTCCTTTTTACGGAGACATGTTGGCACGAACGCGGGTACTCATAGGATCATGATGAGGCGCGAACGACATGATTATGAGGATGATGATGGTGATGTTGTTGTTGATGATGGTGTTGCTGGTGATGATGCTGCTGGTGGTGGTGTTGCTAACGCTGATGTTGGTGATGATGATGTGTCCCCGTTGATGATGATGCTGATGCTAATCATGATGATTGTGATGATGATACTGGTGGTGGCGGTGGTGGTACTGGTGTTCATGTTGATGAGGCTGGCGATGATGCTGGTTTCGGTGATGATGATGACGATGTTGCTGATTTTTCCTCGACGTCAGGACCAATGTCTGATATCAAACTATGGTGTACACTGAAGCCAGACTTCAGAGATCCGTCGCAGAGAGCCGACTGTCTCGTGTTGCCCGCTTGGGCCAGACTGCCAGGGTGATGCTCGGAGGGGCCTCCTGCGCAGCGCGTGTCTAGCAGCGTCGAAATGCTAGCTGCATAATATTGGCCGCTTCGTCTTCGGCATTGAACTCGGGTGGGGTGGGGCCTCCACCTCACGCAGCTCCTCTGCATGTGCTGGCACGGCAGGGGGGGGGGGGGGGGTGGAGGCACGACGGAGGAGGGCGGGATGTGACCGTGATCGTGCTGCTACTGGCAGGGAGGCTTTAGCCTCGAACAAAAATTGACACGGCGTGGACTCGCCTCCTCTGCGCTGTGGCCTGCGCTGTGGCGTGCAGGCTCGCTCTGGCAGAAAGACAGGCTCGCTCTGGCAAAAAGGCGGGTTCACTGCTCGAGCGTCTCTAGCCAGCGGC